TTGTGGAGCGAGACATGAGTAAACTGAGTAGTCAGCATCTTGGGATCACCAGATTTTGCACTGTCACAGGTAGAAGAAAGGACATATGGGTAGTTTCCCCACAAGCAGCAAAAGACATGCCTTATGGAAGAAAGTGACTAGGTTCCAGGTGTCCTTCGCAAAGTTTATTAAAAACAATTATGACTAAAAAACCCCACATTTTAAAAACTAAATTTTGTTATAGTATAGTAACCATGGATTTATTTTAAGTGAAAATCTAAAGCTCTGTCAGCATAGTTATGTCATGCATTTGACTTGGGAGATTTCTCCTAAGTTCCAATGATAGTACTCTTACTGAAACTTTATTTGGTCCAGCACAATTTGCAAACTATTCATAATTACTTTAGCAGGTGCAAATAGATCTAAGTTTCAAAGATGGAACATGTTTTACCAAGAGAAATCTATTAATTATAATGTCAAACTAACAGTGATATTCATAGTGAAACTTTTACTTTTAATCTTGAAAGGCTACATATGGAGTGCATTTCTCAGAGCTACAGATGGGTGGAGAACGAGAACCACATAAGCCAGCCCTACTCTTCTTTTTATACAACAGAACTAGCAAAGCTATATTTTAATAATTATTCAGCAATTATCAAAGGTAGAGCTAAAAAAGCAGTGTCAGGAAAGTTTAATCACATGTCTCCATGTGAATTTTAGTCAGTGAAATACTAAACCACTGTCAATTGCCTCCAATGCAAAGTTTTGCTTTCTTTAATTAAGGGCCCTAAGGCTGCTAGATTCAATGTAAGATACAGTTCTTATGCCTTACATAGTTTAACACTTTTATTCAACCCTTAAAGACACTAGACCTCTGTCCTAAACTGTGTTGCAATTTTGGACCATACAACTTATTTATTGTTTGGAGGGGGTAAACAAACAATCTTGAGAACACATAAAATTCAGGAAACAAGTACAGTTCATTCCTATGCTTACCTACTCAAAAGTAAGTCCCTGCAAGTACAATGGAACTTGCTTCCAATGAACTGTAATAGGATTTTAGTCTTGTTCTATAAGAGCCGTGATATTCCTCAACGCTAATGAGATTAAAAGCAATGTGAAGTGTTTAGATATTATTCCTGGTGATCTGCAATGGGCCATTGTTGTTGGAACAGCCTAACCAAAATATAATTTATCTTACAAGTTATGATACCAAACCTACTCAAACAACACTGAATCCATTTTGCTCTGATCACAACACATCAGCTCTCATTACAAAGTTAGGAGAGCTGTGTTATTGTTGCTCAAATTCCATTTACTTTTATTTCCTCTAGAATAAGCTACAATTTACTTCCATTTGTAATTCCAAGCACATTAAATGAACAGCCCATTAAAATCAAGTTGTGAGTTGCCAAAACTGTAATCCTTAAAAAGCAAGTTTAAAAAGATTTGCTTTGCTGTTATGAAGCAGCTGCATGCACCACATACATATGGCATTAACACACATTACGTGTGGAAGCCAGCCTACCAACTTCACTAAGACTTTCCATCAGCATTTATCAGTGTGTTTGCCATATATGTAACCAAAGAATACTTGTCTAGTAAGTTTTGCTGCCAACACCACTTATCTATTATTTCAATGGTGCAATTTACAACACTGCACTTTGGCTACATTCTAACACACTTACAAGGAAGACCCATTGAAATCCATGAGTATTGCCAAGCAAACACAGACAAAGTAAGGCTGTCATGATACTTTCATTTTGGCTTGAGTCAAGATATAGTTTCAAGTGCTAACACCATGTATTTGGGAAAGTAGCAGTCGTCACCAACAAAGTCAATATATAGCAGCACTAGTAGATGCAGCTATATGTACACAAATTTCATACCACTGAATCATAAAACCAGTTTGCAATATTCAAAAGAAAGGTGAAAAGTTGCAGATGTCCACGTCAGCCTGCATGAATCGGGCATCATGCCCGACCAGGTTTTTGCCTGCAGCACACTATACAAATCCCAGAAACTTATGTAATTCTTGGACAGATATAAATCCAACAAAGCATCTTAATATTGTAGTAGGCACAAGAGAAAAGCTTTAATACATTAACAGCCAGGTTCTAAAAAGAAAAGAAAAAATGAATCTGAAGGCCTCCTCTGGAAATATGATGTTAGCTTTGAGGCAACAGGAAGGGGTTATACAGGATACAAAAATAGAGTTTCCTGTTTCTAGATAAGAGGACTGTGATGCACGTAAATATGAACAGTTGATAATAACCAATGAAAGAAATTCTAATGAGGGGAACTGCAGTTTACTAGACTAACAAGACAATGCTACTTATGATTGCTGCAAGTAAGATACACACAAAAATTCAGCCTAGGCACATATACTTAGAAATATTCCATTGAACTCAGTATGACTGAACTTGAAGCTTCTGAATCCAAAACATGATCCCTTTCCATACACAGCCCTTACTTTCAGACTTAGGACTGACCAATAAAGAAGTTCTCCTGTGGAAGCAGCCGACTATGTACCATAGCCTACCCTACATGCGACAGAATCCTTGTTTTACATTTACTAGGAAGCCTCATTGAAATTCAGTGGTGATTGACCTGAAAAGGTGCATAGAACATTGTAAGCTGAACTACCTAAGAAAGCTAGCAGGCAAATTAACTGCTTTCCCAGGTAGCGTACACCTGGGAAGCTACTGTCACTTTAAAAGGACAGACATGGTTCTGTCACAATCCATGGTCAACAATGTGATTTTGTACCACTGCTGCCTTTCTCCCTACTGTTTTTCACTTACTGCAAATATGACAATGACCATACCACTTGCCCACAGAGTATCTAATTGATTACATGATCCTAGTAGTTCCTGGGAAAATGCTTGATAAAGAAATATTACAGTAGCTTCTTAAGATGCAGGCCAGAGCATCAAAAGATTTGTTAACACATTCCTAAGATGGTGATGGCTTGTTTTGCTTAACTGCCATCTGTTCATAAGATTTAGTTTAAAAGGTGTACAAAACTTTAAACAGAAACCAAGGGAACCACAACAGATATGACAATGTATCACTGTGTGTCCCCTTTTTATTGAAACAAAAAACTTCTGAAACAAACTTAAGCTTATTTCACCAAGCATTTGATCTAGGAACTTGAACTACCACTTTGCCCTTATCATAGAAACACGCAGCACAGGTAAAAATCACAGACCCACAAAATCAGACTCCTGTAATTACAAGCCTGATGTGTCAGCCAAATAGTCACTGATAACAGTAGCAGCTTTGATCTTAAATTTAATTAGATGATTTACTGAGTAATTCAACATGGAATTTAGACTGGGAATTCAAGCAATTCAACATTGTAAAAAAATTAATTCTTAGCAGGCATACACACAATTACAGTTGGTCTGTAGCAATCACTATTGGTACAGTCATCAGAACATTTTCAGAGTTGTCTATTTCAAAAGTCTCATACTGCACCAAGTCAAAAGCAATGTACATAGCCACTCATTAGCAATCAGTTACTGTATTGATGTTAGGTATGCCTACCCAAGATTTTCACCCAAGTCTTCTCTGATACCAGCTTTTTATTATTGGTAGTAGTAGCAGTAGTAGCAGTAGTACTACTAAGACTTTCACCAGGAATAGGGCAGCTACTTAAAAGCACACATGGACACACACTTAGTAACTTAGGTGTTCAATAAAGTGTCTGTGTATGTGGGTTTTTTAAACTTGTTTGTGCACTAATCAAAAGTTTGGGCAAGAACATGAAAGACATTATGTGGGCCACTTCACATATTAAACAATTCTTATGGGCAAGTTAGTCCCATGAAGAATTAGGGTGCAAGAAAATGTATGCCATTTTGCCCACAGGGTATGCATAGGATTGCTACATCTCTGTGTGTTTCATGATTAATAGAAGTGCCTCACAAGCAGGACCACTTTTCAACTGTTACTATGTTTTAAAAGTTTAACAAGATCCAAGTGAACAATGAAGTGTATTATCCATAAAGCATGATGTTTAAGAAGTGGTATCAATATAATCCTATAATTTCTCCAACATATGGCCTCAATTACAGTAATAGTACAATTCCTCCCAACTTTTCCCAAATAGTAGGAAAATATTGCACATGTGGAAAACTTCCAGTAACACTGACAAAGCAGATGAGCAGGGAGAAAACTGAACATTGTAAAATCGGCAGATGGATGAAGACAAAATTGCACATTTAACCAGGCAATCACTAATATATTGACAGTTAAGGGCATCCATCAGTCATTAAAATGCTTTATGACAGTTACTTCTGCTACTAAGCAAAATACTGGAGTTAACTTTTAAGCCCTCTTAGCAATCTGACTTGAAAAGTTAGACAAATTTAGTTGAGGAAGTTACGTAACACAGATGTATTTAGTTTAGAAAATTACATAATATTGTCAGGATTTGTTATGTTGTCCAGCACGCCTGCTAGATTTTTCTTTTGAACGCTGAAATCTCAAGTAGCACTTAAGCAGAAATGTACTCTGGCACATAATACACCCCTACAAGCAAACACACACACACACACACACACACACACACACACACACACATATATCTCGAGACAAGACATAAGATTCAAGCCAACACAAGAGAAAGCTGAGCTTCAGATAAGATCGGAGAGCTGACGTAGGCTATTTAAATCATCATCCCGTGAGCTCGAAGGAAACCAGAAGCGCTTAAACTATTTTGAATGAAACGTGTCTTTTCCCCATTAGAAGTTCCTCCTCACGTCAAAAGCCCTCCTCCTCCTCCTCACACAGGACCGTGCCCGACAACGACAACAGTGGAATCATTGCAGGAAAGAATGGGAGGGAGGGTCGCCAAGGTGGCGGCAAGAGTACTCAAGAAGAACACAAGACCGAGCCACACAAAAGCGAGAGGGTGACTTTTCGGGATCGTAGGGAAGGAAGTTAATTTCTGTATCATCATTGTTATTATTATTTGCGGGGGGGGGGGAGGGAGCTGCTTTGAAGGAGTCACCCACCTCTTTGATCTTCTCCCTTTTCTTCCGGATGGCGGGGTCTGTCGGTTCCCCTCCCACGGCCCCGACGGGTTTGCGGAACGGCAAGTCCGGCAGCCCGGCGGCCCCCGCCTCCCTCCTGCCCAACTTGTCCTGCAGCAGAAACTTCGCCTTGTCCTGGTGGATGTCCCTGCGGATCTCGTCGGGCAGCTTCTGGAGGGTTTCTTTCGCCTCCCGCAAAGCTCGCTCGTGGTCCTCGCGGATCTTGGCCAAGTTCTCCGCGGCTTCCTCTGCAACAGCAGCGGCGGCGGCGCCGGCCCCATAGCCGCTGCTACTACTCCCGGCTCCGGGCGGCTGCGGCGGGCGCTGGTGTTCCCCGTGCGCCGGGGGCGGCGGCGGCGGCTGCTGGAGGTTGCTGCTGGAGTGGAAGAAGACGCCGCTGAGCAGCTTGGGGGAGTCCGGCAGGAAGAAGATGGCCCCAAAGCAGAGCGTGATGAAGGCGCTGAAGACCAGCAGCAGCACGAACTTCTCCGTCAGGCGGAACGCGCCGCTGGGGCCGGGGGCTTTCCTGCCTCCGGGCCCGCCCAAGGGACCTCCGCCCAGAGGGCCGCCCAGGGCGCCCGGGCCGGCGGGGCTGCCGAAGAGCGGCAACAGGCTGACGGCGGGCATCGCGCGGGGCTCCGGGGCTCAGCGCCCCCTGTAGGCCGGCGGCGCCCGCGGGGCAACCCGTCGTCACCAAACCGCCACAGCCGCGGCGGGCGCCGTCACAGCCAGAGCGGGCCGGCGGGACCAGCCCGCGCTTCCTGCCCTCGGCTGCCGGCGGCAACTTTCTTCGTCCTCTTCGGCGGCAGGAAGTTTTGCTCGGCCGCCGCCGCCTCCTCCTCGAGTTCTCCCCTCACGGGAAGCGGCTGCCTTCTGCCCGGCGAGGGAAGTTCGGACCCGAGGTGTGTTTGCGGCTCTGTCAGCTCCTGCCGCCGCCGCCCCCTCGGCTGGTGCGGCTGCTGTCGCCGCTGCCCATTTGACGCCGGCGCTGCCGCCTGCCCTCAGGTATCCGGCGAGAGGAAGGCGGAGCGGCGCTGCTGTTATCGCTGTGGCCGCCCAGCCAATTCATAGGAATGATGACACTTCGCTCCCTCTCTCCCCTCCTCCCTGCCTCCCCTCAGAGGCGGCGGCAGCGGCGCCTGGCACTCGGAAGCGGAGGACAACTGCTTACTCGAGCACGGAGCGCGGAACTGAGGCAGCCGCGAGAGGGAGGCCCCTGCTTCTCGGCGAAGGAGCGCGCTGGACCAATCACAGAGTAGGCGGGGCTGGGTGGTGGCGGGCGAGAGGAGGAGGCGGTTACGGGAAGAGAAGGGGCGGGGCATTCCAAGGAGCGAGGGGCGGGGCGTGTGGGTTTGTGGTTTTTTTTACAGTTGAGAAATAGAGCGTCCCGGGGGGAGGGGGGCGTTGCCCGTGCAGCGCGCGCGGGGTGCCAGAGCCGCTGGTTGCAAACGTGCGCGGGCGGGCGCGCGCTCACACTCGCACACAAACACACAGACATGATGACTTGGCTTGCTATGCATCGTCGTCGGCTTCCCCTGCTCGGGCGTACGTGACGCCACGCAGGAGGTTAGGCGAAATCCTCGTGCCTAGCCCACCTCCCTGCCTAGGGATCATTAACCCCGGGTCCGTTCATGCATGCACACGTGCAGTAGTAGTTGCGTTTCTTGATCAACCAGTCCTGCTGCAATAAGTGGGGCTTTGATTCTAGCGCGAGATTGCAGCATGACGCGCACCGTCCCGTCCCCCCACCTACAAAACTCAAGTTTTAACACTTGTCGATAAAGGATCTTCCTATGGACGGCCGGCTGCGTGCATTTTTGTTTGTTTGTTTTGTTTAGTTATTATGTGGCGACAGTTTATGGGAAGGGAGAAATTGAGGCCGAAATCTGACACCGGCTGTAAATATACAGACCGATCGATACATTGCTAGGCAATAACGGGCGCGCTGGGCTTCCTGTGCCGCTTACTTGATTGACTAAGCGAGACTGGGTAAACGTGCACAGCCTCCCCCCGAACTTTTCTGGAATTAAACAATGCATTGGCTGAAGTGACCAACTGGGTTTTTCCACCACAATAATCTAGCGGGGCTTCCAGACTCTGCTGCCCATGCACAAAAGTTTTGCACGGTGTCCTGAGGACAACCTGATCAAATGGAGCTGTCGACTTTTTCCTTTTCTTGAGAGGAGTCTTATTCGGAATAAGGGAATTTCCCTTAAAAAAAGGGGAAAGTTGACAGTTATGACTCCGATTTAAATCACGTTGCCTCCCCCAAAGAATGCTGGAAACTGTAGTTTGTCAAAGGTTCTGGGACTAATAGCTCTGTCGAGGGTAAGATACTGTTCCCAGGATTCTTTGGGGGAAGCCATGTGCTTTAAATGTACTATGTGGATGTTGCACGACTGTGGTAATGTAGCTGGAGTCTGGCTGTTGTTTATTTACTGGACTTGTAGCCTGCCCTGTCCCAAAGACTTGGGACTGTTAGCAGTGTACTAATTATTCTGCCTTATACTCCACACCACTCCATCCATGCGACCAAAAACATCCACAGTAGCCTTACATCCCTACAACCTTGGGCAAGTCTTCTTAAGAAAGTAATTCTAGAGTTTAGGTGCAGCCATCCATGACACTTGTTTATATTCCCTTGCAGGCATTATTTGGTTCATAGCAGTGGTATGCTTAAACATTATGATAGAGATGCTCTCATAGCTACAGGGTGGTTCATAGCCACCAGCAGCTTGAATTCAGCTTGGAAGGTAATGCAGGGTCAATGCAAATACTGGGAGAATAATGGTGAGTCACCATTAGAAGGTGGGCTGCAATATTTTGCATTGGCTAATACTTGTGAATTATTGCCAAGGAGAGCCTTGCATAAAGATTTGGCTATCCTTATTTAGCAACATAAAGGCTCACCTGGGCCTCTGCATGTTATACTTTGCTGCACAGCTGTTGTGTTGCTGTGGTGCACTCGACAGATAAAACGTATGCTCATTTAGGGTCCATGGTACTCTGGGAGCTCTAGGTGGGAATTGTGCTAGGCAAAAGGGTTTGTGTGTGGTTGTGAAGGGGATTGAAAATGGTGGTTGTGGACTTTCACCAGAACATTCTTAAATTCAGAATAATACTGTATACGACATCAAAGTCTCACATTGAACAAAATGATCCATAGAAAGTACTTTACGATCTGAAAATAGAAACGATGTATGTACTTTTGTAACCCCAGAAAATCTTTAATAAAAACAATTAAAAAGAAGAAGAAGGGAGGGGGATGGCCTCCCTGGGTAGAAAAAGTTTGCAAGTGCTTGAAGTAAAGGGAAAACAATCATCTGATATGTTGCAAAAGAAAAAGAAATTGAATGTTTTGTTTAATTAAAAGTTTGCAATGAACAATGACTCAACGCTTTACCAAACTTACAAAGCTAATTTTTTCTATAAGAAGTTATGTAAAGCTACACATTTATTGTACATGGCTCTATGCCCAAAGCCCTTGCCAAGCAGTAAATTATACAGTGGTGTTGTAATGAACATAGAAATGAAAGGAACAGCTATAAAATGGTTTAACAATAGCCTGCGAAGTCTTTGACATTAAAAAGCACATTTATAGTACGTACAGTACCCCAGAGCATCTCCAGTGACCATGCAGCTACACTTCCCCACATGGTTAAGAAAAATGTGGTGAAGAAACAAACCAAATCAGAACCCTATAATCACCATCTTTTTATTTATTTTTTAAGGGAAGGGATTGGAATTTTTCATGGAAGATTTATTTTACTTGTGACTAGAATTTTAGCAGACAACAGAAAATCTTTGTCAACTCTTAACACAGTCATTTATGTGACTACTGTATATTCCTCTTAGGCTAGTGCTACATTGTACTGCAGACCACTGCTTTAGTTTGTTTGTTCTTTGTGCACCAGCGCATTGTATTATGTTATGGCCACAACATACGAGGCTGCTAGAAATTGAATTAAAACTCAGTTTGTTGGCACTCAAATGCAACTGGGCATATGAAGTGAAGAGAAAGGGAAAGTACTGTTTGGTTGGATTGCACGTGCTCACTGTCTCTTGAGTTGGGATGGAGGAGAAATTCAAGTCTGTTTGTATTTAAAGGCAGATTTATCAAATTTTCACTTCTATCCTTTGCAATTCATACTTATCTGAATTTTGTGATGCAGCTCTCTTACCAACCAATGATAACAAAAATGCATATATTATGTAAAATGTGCGGACGAATGAATGTATTAGTGAACATAATGTGAGAAAGGCATTCTGTTAGGAGAAAATGCTTACAAAATGCATAGAAATGTTTATTAGGAGAAATTTGCACTAAAATGCAGAAGTGTTTTTTATCACAAATTGCTGCAGAAATCTGAAGAACTGAATTTAAGGTTGGAAAAATAAGAAACTGGGAGAACTCAAACTGACAGATCCTTACATTGCAATCTGTAAAGCGCTATGTATGTCTTAGGTTCAAACTATATGAAAGACCGTGTTCCTCTGGTTTTGAGATCTTTGGGGAGGCCTCTCAGTTCCCACCACCCTCACAGGCACACTTGGTGGGGATGTGGGAAAGGGGCTTTTTCAGTAGCTGCTCCCAGACTGGAACTCCCTCCCCAGAGAAGATAGACTGGTTCCCTCCTTGTCCTTCTGCCAGCTTCTTGTTCCAACAGGTTTTGGGGAGCTGACTGCTTTTAATAAAAGGGATGGTGCAGTGCTGTTTTTATTGCAATTATTTGTATGTTTGAAACACACACACACACACACACACACACACACTTGTTGTTTTTAATAAAGAAACAATGAGAAACTGAGTGTTAATTCAGCATTTATCACTGCTTGGTCTGGAAAGGCCTTCAGTACTTTGCTGTGTTATTTCTTTGTGACCATGGAACTTTACCTGCAAACACCCTGTAGACCACAAGCAGTCCTTACACCACAGTTTAGGAATTACTGGCAAGGATATTTAGGAAATTAAGATGACTATGGATTAAAGATATTCAAGCTAACCACAATTGTGTTAATTATACTATCTGCAGGTGGTGTACTGTATTATGTCTTGTGAAAGATTATGTGGATATTGCCTAAGTTTTAACAATCTTGTGCCCTCAATTATCCCTTTGTTGTTATTGCCCATTTCCTTCCTTCTCTTAGCAAATATGCAGTGTATGCCTGATGTCTTTTCTTTTTTGATGATTCCCAATATGGCTCCACCAATTAAACACTATGGAAATTGCTTGCTGAGGGTTCAGATGATCTTATCCTCACCAACTGGAAGGGCATTTACAGATCAATAATTTCTGTTGCTAGCTGCAATGCTTTAAATTCAAATGCCATTGCTGCATGGAATACAGCTATATACATATTTTGGTGCATTCATTTATGATATATGGTTTTAAAGGGCCTGATGAAACTTGTAGTGACAGAGTTCTGTAATGGAGGCTCTAAGCAGTTTGCAAAATAAGGAAATTAGTTACACAAGACAGACATGATTAAAATACACAATAGTTAAAGGAAAACCGTAATTAAAATAAAAAACCCAATCACATTAAAACATTACAATATAAACACTCCTAGTTAAAATGTACAATAAAAGAATCCAATTAAAAGTGATAAAAAACAAGTCTTGTGTCAAGAGATCAAGGGAATGCCTTTGTGAACAGGTGCATCTTCAAGAACTGGTGGAATGCCAGTATAGATGAGGCCTCATATTTCTGCAGGAAATGCCTACCACAACACCAGTACTACCCGTGAAAACCCCACCTCTGTCTCACCATAAATCATCAGGCTATCATAGGACTAACCAGGTTCCAGTTGTAGATATCAATGCCCTTACTGAGCAATGGGGTGGAGAGTTGATCTTCCAGGTATTCTTATTCTTCTTATTCATTTCATGTTTATACCACTTTATATTTTTATGAAAAAAAATCCTCAAAGCGGTTAATAACACATAAAAACATCAAAGTATACATTTAAGGCAACATAATTGACAGGAAACTAAAATATTAAAGATTTCAAAATAAAACATTCAACTACAGAATGCACACTTAACACAGCAAAATTAACAAAAAAATCAAATCAAAACAAAGCCTTACTATAGGAAGTCAAGTATAAAAATGCACATTTAAAAGAGCATAGTTAGCAAGAGAATAAATTATTATCATAAGCATAGAACATCTACTGGGCAGTGGCTGTGGAAGCTTAGGTTCAATGACCCAGATCTGCACTCAGAGACAGCCAAGACAGCCGCCTTAGCTTTTG